ACAGCGTGTGTTTTTTAGAATTCTCAAAAACACACGCAGCCATGGCTGAAGCTCCTTTCAGAGCAGAAAAACTCTTGAACAGAAGGAGCAAGCATGCCAGACACTGAACCGCCTTGCATGCATTATACCACTCCGCACCGCACTGCACTGCAACTCACCGCACCTCTTCAGCATTTGTGGATGTGAGTGGCCGCTCACATGCGCTCTTGCTTCCAAAGAAAGAATATTTCGAACAATAAGCAATCAAAGAACAGACAAGACACCACGCCACACCACACTGCACCGCACCGCACCTCTCCAGTGCTTTGAATGACAATAGCAGCCCGCTTGCGCTCCTGCTTCCAGAGAAAGAGCCGCACGGCCCTCTGAATCTTGGAGGCAGCGAGGTTCATGCGGTCGAGGCGAAGCGAGGAAGCGCTGAGACGACCCACCCAGTAGAGAAATAACCACAACAGAGGGAGAGAGAACGCTGTACACCACCACACCGCACTGCACCACACTGGACCACACCACACCACACCATAACGCACCTTTCCAGTGCTTCTGAATGACACCAGCAGCCCGTTTACGCTCCTGCTTCCAGAGGAATAGCCGTACGGCTCTCTGGATCATGGTGGCAGCGAGGTTCATGCCACACAGTTAAGTTTTTTTAGGAGCCTGAAAATTTGCAGACAGGAGTTTGCCACACCACACCACACCACACCACACTGCACCGTGCCACAACGCACCAAACCACACTGCACCGCACCGTACCTTTCCAGTGCTTCTGAATGACAATCGCAGCCCGCTTGCGCTCCTGCTTCCACAGGAATCGCCGCACGGCTCTCTGGATCTTGGTGGCAGCGAGGTTCATGCGGTCAAGACGGAGAGACTCAAGCGTCACCAGCTGCACGCCCTTCATAAACACCTTTGTCTTGCCACTCTGGGGGGAAGGATGACGAACGAGGGGTGAGAGAGGAGGGAGGGAGAGGAGGGAGTAGGAGAAGGCATGGGTACGATACGAGCATCACCTTTGTCTTGCCGATCTGAGAAGGGGATGGGGCATGGACGAGGGAGGGAACCAGGGAAAGAATGAGCGGGGAGTGGGAGAGTGAGAGGAGGGATCATCTCGAGTCGGATAAATCTGCTTGTTTGTACCCTGCTGCCTGAATCAATAACAGAGGACAGTTTGAGAGGAGGGATAAAACTCGATCGAGACCAGCTGCCCCCATCATTCATTAGCACCTTGTTTGAGTCGACTCAAAACACGACTCATTAGCACCTTGTTTTGAGTCGACTCAAAACACGACTCATTAGCACCTTGGAAAACGAGGTTTACCACAATCAGACATTGATGTCACCTGATGTCACGTCACACCAGCTCACCTGGCAATGTTGAATCCACCTGACACCACCTGGAAATTCACCTGGTAGTCCTGCAGTTCTGCCTGCGCCATGACTGCACTGATAATCTCCTGATGTTGCCCGGCTAGCCTGTCAGGTGGTACGATGGAGGGAGAAGGTATGGTGGGATGGAGGATGGTGAGAAGGTGCGATGGAGGGAGAAGGTATGGTGGGATGGAGGATGGTGAGAAGGTGCGATGGAGGGAGAAGGTATGGTGGGATGGAGGATGGTGAGAAGGTGGGAAGGTGGGATGATGGGATAGCGAGAGGGGCGGTCGCATGCATGGTGGATTAGGTTGCACTCAACGTATCTTCGTCGCATTACACGATTAGTGTGCACACTGAACGTATTCTCTTCACATTCACACAAACGTATTTTCGTCACAAGAAACAGGAGGCACCAGCAACAGACAGCGGTGTCTACATCTTGCTCACCTCGTTCTGTCTTGGTTCAGCAGCAGCGGGCTGAACCTTTGAGTCGACTCAAAAGTCAACAGACAGCGGTGTCTACATCTTGCTCACCTCGTTCTGTCTTGGCTCAGCAGCAGCGGGCTGAACCTTTGAGTCGACTCAAAAGTCAACAGACAGCGGTGTCTACATCTTGCTCACCTCGTTCTGTCTTGGCTCAGCAGCAGCGGGCTGAACCTTTGAGTCGACTCAAAAGTCAACAGAAAGTGGTGTCTACATCTTGCTCACCTCGTTCTGTCTTGGCTCAGCAGCAGCGGGCTGAACCTTTGAGTTGACTCAAAAGTCAACAGACAGCGGTGTCTACATCTTGCTCACCTCGTTCTGTCTTGGCTCAGCAGCAGCGGGCTGAACCTTTGAGTCGACTCAAAAGTCAACAGAAAGCGGTGTCTACATCTTGCTCACCTCGTTCTGTCTTGGCTCAGCAGCAGTGGGCTGAACCTTTGAGTCGACTCAAAAGTCAACTTGGCTCAGCAGCAGCAGGCTGAACCTTTGAGTCGACTCAAAAGTCAACTTGGCTCAGCAGCAGCGGGCTGAACCTTTGAGTCGACTCAAAAGTCAACTTGGCTCAGCAGCAGCGGGCTGAACCTTTGAGTCGACTCAAAAGTCAACTTGGCTCAGCAGCAGCGGGCTGAACCTTTGAGTCGACTCAAAAGTCAACTTGGCTCAGCAGCAGCGGGCTGAACCTTTGAGTCGACTCAAAAGTCAACTTGGCTCAGCAGCAGCGGGCTGAACCTTTGAGTCGACTCAAAAGTCAAACTCTCTTGGCTCAGCAGCAGCGGGCTGAACTTTGAGTCGACTCAAAAGTCCACTTGGCTCAGCAGCAGCGGGCTGAACCTTTGAGTCGACTCAAAAGTCCAACTTGGCTCAGCAGCAGCAGGCTGAACCTTTGAGTCGACTCAAAAGTCAACTTGGCTCAGCAGCATCGGGCTGAACCTTTGAGTCGACTCAAAAGTCCAACTTGGCTCAAGCAGCAGCGGGCTGAACCTTTGAGTCGACTCAAAAGTCAACTTGGCTCAGCAGACAGCGGGCTGAACCTTTGAGTCGACTCAAAGTCAACTCTCTTGGCTCAGCAGCAGCACCCGTGCTACAACTCGTTTTCGAGGTTGCTCAAAAATCACATCTTCAGACGAATAAGAAATCAAATCACATCTTTCTGTCTGGGCTTGGCAGCAGCGGGCTGAACCGCGCGTCAAAGTCCTTTTGGAGACGTGACCCAATCATCACTCTTGACACATAAAAGAAATCACCTCTTCCTGTCTGGGCTCGGCAGCAGCAGGCTGAACCGCGCCTCAAAGTCTTCAAACTGTGCGCCGAGCCGGGGTAACCTGTAGAGCACAGGCGCACTGCCTCTAGCACACCCTGCGAGGAGGGGGGAGGAGAAGGAGGCACAGGGGCGGAGGGAGACTGTGGGGGGACAAGGAAAGGCGAGTGCGTGGTAGCTAAGGGGTAGCCCCTGGAGCACAGGCGCACTGCCTCTGGCACAGCAGAGGTGCAAGCAAGGGGTGGTTTGCAAGCAAGGGGTTGGTTTGCAAGCAAGGGGTGGTTTGCAAGCAAGGGGTGGTTTGCAAGAAAGGGTGGTTTGCAAGAAAAGGGTGGTTTGCAAGCAAGGGGTGGTTTGCAAGCAAGGGGTGGTTTGCAAGCAAGGGGTGGTTTGCCAAAGCAAGGGGTGGTTTGCAAGCAATGGGGTGGTTTGCAAGACCGGGGTGGTTTGCAAGCAAGGGGTGGTTTGCAAGCAAGGGGTGGTTTGCATGCACGCAAGGGGTGGTTTGCAAGCAAGGGGTGGTTTGCAAGCAAGGGGTGGCTTTTGCAAGCAAGGGGTGGTTTGCATCACGTTCTGCATGTCCCAGGGCTTAATACCAGCCAGCACTGCTACACGGTTGCAAGTCGGCGGCGGGTGTACCTGCGTTTCATGACTTTTGAGACGCCTCAAAAGTGGCTTGCATCACGCAAACTAAAGGAGCACGGAAGGATTCGAGATTACCAAGCGACAACGGCTGGGGCCAGTGTCGCAACTGCTGCCCCACTCACCCCCTGATCGCAATTGCTCCCCACGAGTGTGTTGGAGAACTTTTGTGGCTTGAGGTCCTTGTGGGCTTCACACACCGCACGTAGTGCGGCTCTGTTTGCATTCAGCGTGGCGCATCAACTCGCCCAGTTGCTCCTGAGAGGGTGGAGGAGGGTTTGGGAGCGGAGAGGGCCAAGGGTGGGGAGGGGGGTGGGGTGGGTGGAAGTAAGGGGAAAAGTTGCCTGTGTGGCTTTAGTGTGGCTCAGTTGCATTGAGCATGCACATCAACTCGCCCAGTTGCTCCTGGGGTGGAGGTGAAGGAGGGTCAGGAGGGTTTTGTTGCTTGGGAAGGGGTTGAGGTCCTTGTTGGGCTTGACGCACCGCACGTAGTGCGGTTTCGTTGCATTCAGCGTGGGCATCAACTCGCCCGTTGCTCCTGGGAAGGAGGACGGGGTGGTGTTGAGGAGGATAGCAGGGATGGCTTGAGGTCCTTGTTGGGCTTCACACACAGCACGAAGTGGGGCATGCGCATCAACTCGCCCAGTTGCTCCTGGGGGGATGGAGGAGGAGGTTGTTGAGAAGGAGGAAGGATGAGTGGTTGAGGAGATGAGCGATTGGAGAGTGGAGGTGTTGCTTGCATTGATTGGGAGCAAACAATGATGACGTTGTCAGCAGCTTCCCGTGCTACCCCTTCTCTCCCCGCCCCCATTCCTTCACACTCACCCTTACCCATCCCCCCTCGATCCCCACGTACCCCTCATGCCTTAGTTGGAGTATACGCGTTCACATAAGCCTCCAACTAACGCCTCATGCCCCTTTTCAACACACGTGACCTCATGCCCCTTTCAACACACGTGACTCATGCCCCTTTCAACACACTTAACCAGGTGCAGTGAAGTGAGGTGTATTTTGAGGCGCCTCAAAATACACCCCTTTCAACACACGTGACCAGCCCCCATCAATTCACATAACCCCTTTCCTTCCCCTCCAAGCCCCTCACCTTGAATCTCTTTCCCAGGGAGACCAGCCTTCACCGCCTTGCCAGTTTCCGGGGGTGGGGAAGAGCGTTCGCACAAAAGTCAGAGTGGGAGCGAGCCAGCAGCTCCTCATGCTCTGGCACCAACGCGTCAAGGTTCTTCCACAGAAAACTCTTCTGCCTGGTACTTCACCTGCAGTGGGATGTATTGGAGAAAGAAGGGGAGAAACACAACGGTCCATGCATGCGGGGCTTCAAAGTGGGAGCGCGCCAGCAGCTCCATCCTGCTCTGGGACCAGGGCGTCGAGATTCTTCACCAGAAACTCTTCTGCCTGCTACTTCACCTGTGAGGATGAAAGGCGGAGGAGGGGGTAGACAAGGGGCAACGAGCAGAGAGCAAAGAGCACGGCACACACGGTTCAGAGTGGAGCGGGCCCGCAAACTCCTCATGCTCCGACACTACTTACGTCCGTGATCTTGTCCAGGATGACCACATTACCGTGCGCAAGATCGACCTCTTCCTCCAACCCCCGCGACATATTCACTAAGGGCCCTCGACCGCTCTACTCACTCGGCAATTTTGCCGCTCCTCGGGCCTTGCTCCCCAATGGTGACTGATTCAGGGGTTGCTGTCTTATCTCATCCAGGTTTATAGATCTATGCAGGCTAAGGGGTTGTGTTAGATTATACTACTCTTCTGTATCCTGCATTGATCCTATAAAACCCTAGGAAGAGATAGGCACCCCAAACTATGTTTGGGTGCACAACTAGGGTTAACCCCTAGTGGGGGTTGGAACCAACCTTGGTCCAATTATTGGCCCCCAAGGTTGAGTTGAGAGATTATTGGGCCCCCCCAATAATGTTGGCCCACTTTTTGGCCAACATATTGGGACCCCCCAATAATTCTCCAACCCTAACCTTATTGGTGGGGGCCAATAATGATGACTAGGTACCCCAACCCCCCAACCCCCCCTCCCTTAGCTTCAACTATGTAAGCCCGTATGATTCCTAATCAACTCAATGGTTCAATGTAACACTAACCCCCTCAGATTCCTCCCCACACCCCACCTTGCCAGCGTAGTGCTTCACACTGTAGTCGGCTTGCAACAACTTGGCCACTGGAAAGTGGCCTGTGCTACAGCCATCTCTCTTGACTCATCCTGCCATCTCTCATCACTCCTCCCTTCCATCTAACTCCGTTCACATGGCGGTCCACCTACCCACCCACCCTGCCCTGCCCTGCCCCATCCCTCCCTCCCTCCCACAGCACTCGCTTCTAATTCCCCCCACCACAATCTGAGCACCCCAACTCCTTCCCGCCACCTTGCCAGCGTAGTGCTTGACGCTGAAGTAAGCTCGCGACATCTTGGACTTGGAGAAGCGCTTGTGCTTCAGGCATCTTATACAATTACCCCTTTTGTCCCGCAGTGCAGTCAAGGCGCCCCCGCCCTCACCTTGCCGGCATAGTGCTTGACACTGAGGTCAGAACGCGACATCTTGGACTTGGAGAAGCGCTTGTGCTTGAAACATCTCAAACCCCCCACCCACACCACACCCACACCCGCACTTCCCCAGCTAGCCCAATCGCATGCACATAACAGCAG